GATAGGCGTCCTGTGGATGGTACGGTTATATAGCTGCAAATAGTGTGACTCCAATGGCATTACGACTGCTGTCAATTAAGCTGGGAATTATCGAAGGAAGGTTAGGAATGGTAGTTGGGAGGGGAGTAAGAGGAACTGGTTGAAAAGAAACTAGGTGCCAGCAAGATCATCTTTCTGCTTACCCGCTATACTGGATGCAGCAGATAAGGCGACTCTTGATAATCTGCGCGACGGCGGATGCAGGATAAAGTTTATGTTGGAAGAAAATATCCTGATTGTATGTGGGCTGAGATACTGTCAGGGCGCACACACCTAGCGTCCTCAACCAAATCCTTTGGATCAAAAGCCTGCCCGCAAGACAGCGGGGAGGTGGCAATGATTTAGTTCTACGGAAATGGACGCCATCCCATTTCAAACCACCAACCTGGAAGACCAGCAGACGGAGCTTGTCTGAATTCTAACCATTGACCAACCTGGTAGAAGTAGCTCTCAAGGTGTCCGGAGGCACCATCCAATATAGCTCAATGGATCAAAGAGGTACTCAACCCCTTGCACCACATTAAGATCATCTCCTTGCGATGAGCATTTCTCTTTTCGTTCCCGTCAGTCTTTTCACTCGTATCTATTAAGGCGTACTACACGTTCCTCGATGACAAGAAAAGTGGAACCTGGAGAGTGAACAAACTTTCCTTTTCTGATTAGGAATGGGGCATTGGTTTCGTAGTCACATGATTAGATGTGGAAATCGGAAACTGTCTTCGTGACATACCTCTTTACCTAGCCCTTGCATTTCTACGACCTTTGAACTAAACACTGATAAAACGAGTATTGCGAGATGGCAAAATTACGTGTTATGTGGTCACTTGCAAACTAGCAAGATATATGTCTCATATGATAGAAGAATTAGATCGTTTCGAACTTGGTGAGCAAAACACACAAGAATGTAGATAGCTGAACTGGAGCAAAAGTCATGAAACCAAAGAAGATGTTACTGTCGATTCTTTCTGTACACAAAGAGTAAGACGGTGCCGATTAAGAATCACCGTCTCGGCAACCTTATGCACTGTGGCATTTTTATTTCGATAAACAAACATAAACCTTGAGGCGTGGTCAATTTGATGGCTCTTGCCGATTAGGTTTTTAGCTATGCATGACGCCTGTAATTTGCCTGCTTTTCTTTGTCCCGTTGCTTGTTAGATTGTGCTCTTCGCAGTCTACCATCTTGATTGTAATTTGATCCTTTCTATTGACTACCTAAATGCGTGAGAACACATGCTGTGTTAGCACCGACCTGACCCTCCATGTTCGCTGTTGCTCATAAAATCGTTGAATAGGCTAAATCATTGCATTGTTTATCATAAGAATGTATTTCGAGCACGACCGCTCACATTGTGTTATATAGCGCCAACCGAACCATATGCTGCAAAGTATTTTCCTGTTTTGGTACGCTTGTCTGAACTATTATAACATTTTCTTCATCTTTGTGTAAAGTTAAATCTCCCGGCTCCGTTGCGGTAGGCAACTTCGGAGAGGTAGTTCAACATTCGCGAAGCAGCATTGTCAAATCGAATTGCACTATCGGCTACTATTAAAAAATTAGTCTGATAAATAGAATGAGAGTGGAGAGCGCCTTTTTCGTGAAGTACTTAGTACACTCGATATTTTTTACTTGGTTTACTTGAGGTGTCGTAATGGCGGATGGGTTCTCGTGGCTTCGCTTAGTTTAGTTGACCTAGTTAATTTCAGTGTGTCCATACCACTATGAAACGGCGGCTGAATTGGCCTGAGGGTGTTAGTTTACGGCGACCGTCCGTGAATTTGAGATGACTAACAGTTCAAACTAACTGGTTACTGCTACTGCTTCTTCGGTGCATATGTGCATGAGATGCTGTTGTTAATGGAACAACGACTGGGACAATTGTCGACCGATTCATCCTGATCACCTCGACCTAAGATAATCCGGCCGGAGCTCCTTTCAAGTCAAACCAAGAATGTGCTTTATGCACCCATATATGGTGAATATTCCGCTCTAGCGCACACGCCACGTACAAGGATAAGTGTGGAAAACCTATAGTGCATAAGGATAGATATAAAACTACAATCGTTACAAAACTTGACAGAGCAAATATCACGGGAATAATTTACTAACCATTTCCTGAATGACTAATTATTATCCTTCAAACAACGTAACAGACAAGGAACTACTGACGTATCATAGATCTTTGTCCAGGCATATTTAGTTTTGTAGCTTCGTCTGGTCGAGGAAGTTGATACGAATTCGGACAACACCCTGTGGAGGGGGTGGCCAACATCGGTGAATATTTTAAATGCAAGTTTATCATTTGAGTTGACATGGTTGACTACAATGATGTTAACAAGTTCCAGTCTTGAAATGCCGGCTTCGCTGATCTGGCAATTACTTTGAGGTCCTTACTCTGGAGACCAAGGAAAGATCACAGAAGAGCAACTGGTCCAGTAGGGTAACACACATGCAGTGATAAAACACTGGATCAACAAATCGGGGTACGGAAGAAGACATGAGATGCGAGCTTCTGTGAATGTTTCGTCCACGTTAATTTATCACGTGGACCACATATACACCGTCGGTGCAATGTTCTGGACACTGTGTTAGGATTTACAGGTAGCGATTTCCTTTGAACAGCGAAAAAACAACACCTTTGAAGGACGATTTGTCAATTCCAGGTGTCGGAACTGGTAATTGGCTCGCATGTACTACCCCGGGTACAGCCATCGTCTTCAATGAGACCCATCCCGAAGTGATGCCTCTGGAGAGGAACAACTCACCTGTCTTTGATCTCAGTTCTCATCTTCGGGAAAGGGTGTCTAACCCCACTGGCGACTGTTCTATCAAACTTATTTAGCACAATCTGGTGAAAGTTGGAAGGGCGTACTGACTGGCCATTGCCAACTACTATTCCCATCTTGAGAAAGTTAGCGAGATATATATTGCGTCATCAATTCCCTCCGAAGTACTCGCTTATGTCACTGATACCCGAGGGAGACGAATCGTTAGGCGATCGGTTAGTTTCTTCATCGGTTGAGGATGCATGGTCCACATCTACACGCTTCATCACATGCGTAAGCAGCACCGCACGTGCAATCAACCATGGTGACAAATATTCTATAACCGAGGACTGCTTTGGATCCCACCGATCACGTTTATTTGATATGCTGCCTCTCCTTTTGTATAGTGCACTGAAGAAACTTGCTCTCACTGTAAATTCTCCATACCGCGACCTCCTCGGCCATGTAACGGTTGACAGCAAATGGTCGCCTGTGTTCACGACGGTAGCTGACATGCATATGGACTGTGATAGTTTATTTTTTCGCGTCGAAGTAACGATAGGAATGAGTGTAATTGACTCCCATCCACTTCCACCTGGTATGCGGTATGGGTTACATCGGTTGACCCAATGTTAAAATCAGAGTGCCACGACCTACCATCCTTTGGGCCGGAGTAGGCAGCTACGCGAACTTTGCTTAATAGACTAAGAGGAAGTGCTTCGTATTTAGGCGATTGGTTCACACCATCGAATCGCAGGAATTAGGCCACATGCGACCAGTTTCCCAAATTCCCGAACGGCCGGTTGAAGTGATCGACACGTTTCTCTGGGCCACTGTAACGTTGTTAGTAATCGCACCAGAGACATGGTTAAGGCGGGCATCGGTAGCGCTGTTCGCAATACTTTCGCATTTCACTCAAAGTGTTCTTACTAACCTTCGCCACATATGGCGGCGGCACGACATTACTCTCGCCCTGAAGGGTAGAGTGTACAATGCAGCGGTACGTTCGACCTTACTGTACGGTTTCCAAACCTGGCCCCTCAGATTGGCGGACATGAAGTGACTAGATACGTTCGACCATCCGTGCCTCCTCAGTTTGGCTCACATCTGGTGGGAACACCGCGTGAGTAACGAGTGTGTTTGACGCCTTGTTTACGGCACAGGAGAAGGACCTGAACCGCTCAGCACCGTCATTTCACGCACCAGGCTCCGATTGCTCGGCCACGTGTTTCGCATGGCAGCCCATCGACTTCCACGACGTGCGTTGTTTGCTCACCGGGGATGTGGATGGAAGAAGAGGGGTGGCCAAGCGATGACTTGGTCCAGAGGAATGATGGCCCTCACTTCACAGCTGGCCTCGGTTGGAACGTCACGGCTCCCTGGTTGGGGTCCAAAAGACGGTGAACACGTCTGGCTGGATACACTTGCTGACATGGCTAGGAGCCCACCTCAACGGTGTACGTGCTGTAAGTTTCTTTGTCCCTCTCCATTCTTTTTAGCCTCCCGTCCAACCACGATCTCATTTTGTAGCGTAATGTAATTTTACGTAATAATTTTTCTTTTTGCCTAGTAGCCGGCTGTTAGCTTACCGGAACGATGCCTATCCGTTGCTGGTAGCTCAGCTGGCATGCAACTTTTGTATTTATTTCCCTTTTCATCTATGTATTGCGGCACAGTAGCTGAGGTGTTTCCCACATCTAGCTGACGTGTATAGTAATGATGATGATGATCGCATTTCGCCATTTCAAAACATGGTAACGTGTGTCTGTGTTTATTATTCATTCCTCTGGGCGTTTTTCGTCGACAACTTAGCTCATCTTCCTCTCCCGGTATCTGTGACCTATTTTTTCAAACAATCTCCTGTTATTTACTGTTTACTTGCCCCCAACTTTCACTTTTCCCGTCCTTACTCTTTCCGTCTCTATGTTTAACATATGATGTTCCGGACAAACGCTTCTGAATTCTTGACGCTGCTCATTGTTCGTTGAGCGTTTTGATTTCTATGCCGTTGCTTGAAACGTGCTGTTTTCAACTTCTGACCTGTTTAATCAATTAATGGCTGTGCCATACGGGTTGTTTGTTCCTCTGGTGTAACCCACCGTTAGAACAAATATTGGCATGGTGTCCATATCTGAAATATACATCTCCACTTTCAGGACATGTTTAGTCAATCCGCTTTCACCGTTTCGTTACAGACTTCTCGTAAAAATATTAGATTCGTTGTTATGAACAACCTATTACCGTCGTCAGTGAAAATTCATGAGAAATACGATTTGAAGGGGTCAACTCACAATCGAAGAGCAAGCGAAAAGGAGTTGGCTAAAAGTTCACCTACTTTGAAAGATCTGGACTTCCGGTAAATCCTTCTATGATATTTATGTCTGCTATATGTAAATAAATTCAAAATCGTTTTTCGTTCCATAGACTTAGGTCGCTTCAAGATAACGATATTTGCTTTTACAGTCTTTGTCAGCTCCCTCCATGGGAAAATGCCTTTGTTTAACGGGCGGTATACAAATTTGTTCTTTTTCCGTGATATCCTTCTGCATGTTTCCTACGGTACTGCACTGTTCCACTTCCATCGTTTTCTTTAGAGCACTCTATCCACCACGACTGCTTTCTCCTGAGACAATATGCCACAGCATCGTCACCACCGCCTCTTCAGCGTTCAGAGCCTAGACGTGCGCATGTATGTATAAATGCATACATCCGTGAATACCTTTTCTTATAACAACCTGTGCACTACCGTCTGGTATTTCTCACGTGGTGACTAAACGCTTGAGGCTTGTGTGCCTTCACTGCTTCGAGTCTGCGTAGGGGCGGGCCAGCACGCGACTGCGGGTTCTCACGTATCAGGGAAGCTCCCGTACTGCGTACCGGCGTGTTGCTCATTTCATTGTTATTTCAACTAACATGCTTAGCACCGAAGTTAATTCCTTCTATCAGCTCATAGCAGCGCATCAAATCCCGCAAAGCGTATTGTTAGCGCGATCGGGGTCTGTGTGGAAGAGGAGGGTAAGGCAACCGTTGGCTTAGTTACAAAGAAATACTTCTCTCTCTTCGAATATGGCCTCGTCTGGGCATCTCAACTTTCTTTTTGGGGTCTCGGACGATAAACACCTTTTGTTGCATGCATTTCTTGTCATAGAAAGCGCCGACCTCAGAAGTGTTTGTATCATTTGTCTCTCTCCCACCTCTCCAACCGTGATCTCAGTATCGACGCATCATATAAGTTTTCTTTTTGTTTCGCCTTTCTTTTTTTCTCTCATTCCTTTCCACAACCATACATATATTTTTCAAGATAGCGCATCACGCATCCAGTACAAGTGAATATTCAGCCTCAACACACACGCTTCTAGTGATACATCATGATAGAAATACAATTCATACAATGAAAAATATGCACTTTACCAACATAACATAGTCACGGACAACTTTGTTTTGGCTGAGCAAAAAATCGCTCTAATTAAGTGATAAATGACGAACGGTACTCTCATGTTCGGGTATATGTAAATTTATACTTCTCTGGTTGACGAGGTCGACACACGTTTCGACGATATTTAATAGAGGTGGTGATTTGTGTCTTCAAGTACTGTTGATGATAGTCTCTTACAAGAACCAACCTTGATGGATACAAGTATACCAATAAAAGTCAGCTTCGATACACCAATACATCGCGACACCTGTTTCAACGACATGGAGATTAATCTGAAGTTCTTAGTCAATAGGCCAGAAGATCACTAGTGATCAGCACGTCCATTGTGGAAAAACACAGGTAGTGAAAAAACGGAGTGTCAAACAATGGAGGACAGAGGAAAGTCGCAGGTGTGAGGCGTAGAACGATAAACTCCTGACCTTTGTGAACGTTTCCTTTATGTAGTGTGATTAAGATAAATCGTAGCTAATCATGACAACAAGGCACTTAACTGATGTTGAAGAGCCCAACTATTCTCCATTGATGTGAAGTTCTGGGCATTGTTGCAGAAGCTGTGGATATTAATCTCCTCTGTGCAGTGAAAAAATGACATCATTGCATTTTGACATATTAAATGGCAGCTCGCGGGCCTCTATCCAAAACGTGTGCTGGTTAAGAATATCTTGCATTCTAACCGAAGAGGCACTGGTAGACTGGTTAACGTTCAGAGCAATGTCATGTGCGTATTTCAGCAGGGTCACTTCCCCAGTCGAAAATAGAAATAGTGGCCAAATTGCTCCCTGAAGGACATTGGCGTCTGTGATGAAGCGCGAGGAGTTTCTTCCTCTGGTAAAACTGGTAAAATAATCCCTCAACATAAAATGATGGAAAGATGTCTTCCAGCACCGAGTCGATCTTTCAAAAACATTTCATGGTTTACGCAACTGCATACATTGCTGTAGTCCAGAAAACAGACTCCAGTGTACTTGATTCTATCTTGCAGTGATGGTAAGACCAAGTGCGCAAGGCAGACTACTGAATTTTGGGCTGATCTCGAACTGCGGTAGACAAATTAAAGCAAGTATTTTAACCGCTTTTGTGTCGGCGTCTTCCGAAGAATAAATTTTTCAATCGCCTTAAAGGCTACCGAAGTACAAGCAATTGGTCGATATTCGCTTGAAACCATTTTTGTTATTGGTGTTTGTTATTGGTTGTTCATTGCACGATGTACATAATAAAGAGGTCTGAGGTTTCATCAGAGAGTACATTCCTTGGGGACAACGGGAGACAGTCTATCTGATCACCTGCTTTTCCTGAGTGAACCTGTTTCAGTAACTTGCGTACAGTGCCGCTACCGACAAGGGGCCGTGAGTCTGCAGACAATTTAGGCAGGGCAAAGGATGAGTCAGAGATCGGATTATTGTAGCACTTGCGGAGGTCATGGCACAATTTCTCCACATCTACGTCGTCGGTCGATGTACGTCGAGTAATGCGGCATAGTTGTTTTAACATCCTCCAGAGTTCACGGCAGCTACTATTCTCAAATATAACTTAAAAATACACGCTGAGACGGCGCAACGTCTCCTTACTAAGGACAGAGTGGCTTTACGGAATTGTTGTCTTTCCTTTAAGAGCTTTCTCTCTTTATCTACCTAGCCGCTTCATGTGCGTTGAAGAGAACCTGTCCGCACTGATGAACAGTGTTTCCCATGGTCAGCAAATGTCAAAAGTGTAGTTCAGGTAGCTTGTAATCTGATAACAATACGTGGATACATCAGTGGCAAAAAATAAACTGTCGGTGAATAATGCCATTTCTGGCAGTCGGTCAATATTCTATACGGAATATTGCCTCCACTTGAACTTGTGATCGTTGTAACTTAATGGTTTTATCTCAGAGCAGACCACAGGACACAGGTTAACTGTTGAGTGATCATAGTTTCCTGGCGGCGCCTTATTACACACAGAGAACATCTTCACGTTGTTAACAGACACCAGGTCCGGAGTCGCACTGGATGTGATGGGACAGTTTACGATGTTCTGTAGCCCAAGACTTGGGAGAAAACTGCTGTCCTATTTGTATTGAGGCACAAAAGTTGTGGTTGCTGCTACCTCTGGCTAATTTGTATAATGTTAATTGCTGGTAATCTACTGACCCTGTTATTAATTGATATTCCATATGTTTGCTCCACAAGGGCTACTTCCATTGTGGCGTGACCGGATCTTAACAATGTGCTGTGATTTGCGTACGTCCTTGGACATAACCTAGCTGAATGGCACTCACATCGGAATGTGATAAGCTTTTCTCCACGTTCTCCTCAAGATGGATTGCCAAATGATCCACTTCCACTCCTTTGTGAAGCCTAGCGCTGTGAATCTTCAGTTTGCGGTAGACCGTCGCCACTGAAATGCTCCCCTGTTGTTCCGTTAGTCGGCGCTGATCCAGGTATGAACATGCGCCGTTAGCAGTTGTCACGGTCTAAATTGTCATAGTAGACGTGGTTATCTATATGATGATGAACTTGGGCCAAACGCCCGGCGTTTACCACGAGGTCACGTCTGCCCTCTTTGAGTCTAGGCCCCACAAGTCACTGATCCACCGCGGTTATTACCACACCACCTTGTTAACGGATATCCTAAATCGTTTTTCCTAACATGGTTCTAGGCTTCCCTTACCAGCTTGTTAATGCAGGCGGTGCATTATCACACTTGCAGTTTTTGACACACAGTGATAGGTGATAAGTGTTTTCCGCGCCTCCAGCCTTGATTTTCGCTTCAATGCAACCCACCTCCTGTCTTCACGTCTGGTGGCCACAGCGCTTGACATACGGGCTTTTTCCTCTTCACATGCAACACTCACTTATCTCGCGCTGGACTTTAAATTATATTCACCAGTCAGTTATATTAATTATATAGCTATATAGTATATCATGCTATTAATTCCGCCACTGCCCTGTAAATGCAGGATACTTAACTTCGTCATCACCGTCTGGTTCCGCACCTGACTTGTTTCTTCCTTCACCAAACCAATCATCTTACAATCAAGTTGCACTATTTTATGTTTTAGCTCGATTGTATTGTTTCAGAGCTTAAAGCTCTGCCCTCAGTAATGTTCAGTTCCATTAAGCGCTTATGATCTGAGCACCGATGTGCTGGATTCAGTTGCCGTGTCTTTGTGTGGCAAACAGGTCATGTTTGTTAATAAAACTAAATCCGTATGGGCATCGAGTTTGGTGAGGAGTTCCACCCATTTGGTTTTACACAGTATGCTAATGAAACTATCACTCTTATTGAAGTCACTGAAGACAATATCTATGGCGCACACTAAATTTGGTTGTAGCTTAGAGACAAGATGATCTTCAAAATTTTCTTTCTTTCTGACATTGTTACGTCAGCGCTACTTTAAATGTCCCCATCTACAAAAGGTAGAAAACCATTAACAAATTGGTTCGCCCTCCAACTAATGGAAGCTTATTGTTGCCGTTGATTAAGGGGACAGCTGTAAAGCCGACACATACCAAGCTTTGCTAATCTAACTGATGGCACATTCTCCACGATGGTCTTGCTTACCTGCGGTGTCGGATTTGATATGGCAAACGCCACTCAGTTTAATAGCCTGCACTTCAATGTCAAAATGCCGTCAACCAATCGTATTTGCACGTAAACAGTTGGATACAAGTAGACAAGTGTAAGATTCCCTGTGTCCGCGATGGCATCAAGTCCGACTAAGTCTATGACAGCGAATGCGGCCCATCCCGAGGCCTCCATCTACGAAGTCAGTTCTTTCCATCTGATCAAGAGATTTGGTCCATTTCTTCGTGCCTTTTTACGACTTCATCGACTGATTACCTCACGGCTTTGTCCGACTTGGTGCAACACACCGAAAAAGTGATCAGCTAGCATACGAAGAGCATGATGTAGCCAACGTAAGTGGACTAATTTTT